CCTTTTCTCTCCTCACTGCTGACCTCCATGGGTGAAGAGCTCTAAAGGAGTGCCAGTAGCATCCGTGTCCCCTCTGGGCAGTTCTTCATCCAGCTGCCAGGTGTCAGTTGCAGCTCCAGGGCTGGCATGAGCCCTCAGTGTTTGTGGCTGGCCCAGGGTTTGTGTGGCTGAACCCCAGAACACCCTGCTCTGACACCAGGAGGGACCTGGCAGTATCTGTTCCCTGCCCAGGAAATCCAGCCTGTTCCTTCTCCAGCAAAGGCAGAGGAGGGATGGGACCTCTTATCTGTCATCTCCCCAGGAAGACATTTGACCCCAGACCCACCCTCATGGTGGCCCCTGCTATTTCATGTAATTGCCTGGGTATTTATTAGTCCAAAGCAATTTCAATGGGAATTCCTTGCCTTTAGAAGATCCCATGGGACGTGGGAGAATGGGATATCCCTGCTTCAGGGAGGAAGGGGTGTTCCATGCTTCAAGGGCGTGGGCACAGGTTGTGAAGGGGAATGGAAGAACCTCAGATCAACCTACTCACCCAGAGACCAAGCCCCTGGGGACTGGGTCACAGCTGTGGAAGAGAGGATGCTGGATCCATTCTCCATGCCCATCCTCTCCATCATGCAGGGTATCTCCTGCATTCCCACGGGCACTTTCCTGGGCCGTGTGTCTAATGCAGCTGAGTGCTGTGCCAGGTTGCCAGCTGCCATTTGGAGAGGGGCCATTGCTTGCCTGTTCCCAGGCTGTCTCCCAGATCTATTACTCCACGCTTCAGGTTTTTTGGCTGTGGTGCTGTTGGTCTTGTTGCTATTAAATTGAAAGGAGTAAAAATTCTCTCCTGCACCCATCTTTTTCTCTCTCCCCTGCCACCTTCTTGCAGAGCTGCAAAACAAAATCGCTGCCTAGGAGGTGGTTTTGGAGATGGTTTGAGACATCTCCAACTATCACCAAAAAATACACGGGCTAGTCCTTACCTCAAATGACAGTGTCTGGGGAGAGAGAAGAGCACTTCGGTTCCAAGGGCCAGCTCAGTGCCAGCCACACTTTAATCATCCTGATTAAAGGTGTCTTGTGTTGCTAAAACAGCATAAAAAGCCTGCCCAAAATGGGGAGGCAGGATGGCAGTCTTTGGGACAGAGGAAGGGAGGTCTGAGGCAGGAGGATGCCTCGGAAGGGCTGAGCACAGGGGCTGGGGTACCCCTGGGAGCTGTGGGCGGGGGTCGTTGTCCCCCCCATCAGTGTCATGGCTAGTCCCAGTCCTCGTGCTGCCAGCATCACCTGGTGCTGCCCAGCTGGGACCGATTTGGCCCACGGAGGTTCAGATTTGGTGTGAGGGGCAGGGTGGCTGTCATGCACACATGGGGACACACAGAGATGTTCGCACAGGCTCACAGAGACACAGACCCGGGTGTGTAAATTCAGCCACAGACACACCCTGGACCCTGCACCCTCCCACTGCACAGATACACCCCAACACACAAACACGATCATCCCTGCACCCCCTCAGGGTGTCACCACACACACACACAAAGACAGATGTCCCTGACACGGACACTCACAGCCCTACTCTCACAAGGTGTCACTCACACGGGCAGTGTCACACACATGCAAGTGTCACAAATACAGTGTCGTGTATACACGGTACCGCGCAGTGCCACACACCCAGTGTCACAGTGTCGCACACCCCGTGTCACACTCAGTGTCATCCACACACAGCCCCCAGCCCCCGCTGCCAGCCCGACTCTGCCGGCCAAGCCCTTTATCGCTCCGGGCCGTCACCGAGCCCCGGCCAGCTCTACCGATCCGTGCCATGCCGAGCCGGAACCGAGCCGAACCGGCCGTGCTGAGCCGTACCGGACCGTGCTAGGCCGTACCGAGCCGAACCGAACCGTGCCCCATCGCAGCCCTGCAGCCGGCCCGCAGCGAGCCGAACCGCGCCGTGCCCATCCCATCCCAGCCGAGCCGTGCCGAGCCGAGCCGTGCCGAGCGGAGCCCCCCGGGCCTGGCAGCGCTGCCCGGCGCCGCCTGCACGGGCAGGGCTCTTCGCCTGACGCAGTGAGGAGCTGCAGCCCTTCTCTTCTCGGAGGCCGGGCTCCAGCGCTGGGATTTGCTCGGCTCCGGCTGCGTTTCCCTGCCCGCCTCCTGCCCCCGGCCCGCCCGCTCGGAAGGGCGCGGGGAGCCGCAGCCGCGGGTGCGTCCGCCGCCCATCACCGCGCTCCGGGGCTGGGCGCGCCGCCGAGCGCCGGGAGCCGCCTCCGGAGCAGGTAGGAGCGCCCGCATCCCCCGCCGCAGCCCGCCCGGGCCCCCCCCTGCCGCCCCCGACCCCGAGCGGAGCCCCCCGCCCCGCTCCGGCCCCGCGCCCGGTGCCGCCCCGCGCTGCCCGGGAGCCCCGCGCAGCCCCCGGTGGCCGCTCCGTGTCGCCAAACTTTTAGCGGCTGCAGCCCAGGTTGGGGCTCCGGCGGCGGGGGGAGAGGGGCGCTCTCCCCTCCCCTCCCCAGTTCGGCCGGGGCTGCTCCTGCTGTCCTCATCCCCAGGGCGAGCGGGAGATCGGGGCCGGAGCAGCTCCCCAGGGCTACGGAATCGGGAGCCCCTCCGGCCGCTGGGCCCGTGTTCCCTCCCCGCCCATGGCGGGGGGATCCCCACTTCGGGGTCTCCCTTCGCCGGCGGGGTGCGCCCCAGTCGGAGCATCCCCCGGGGGAGCCTCTGCAACTGGTGCCTGCGGGAAGCCGCGGTGCTCCGGGGAAGAGCCGGTGCCGCGGGCAGTAGCACGGCCTCGGGGGCAGGGGGTCTTCCGCCCGGGTCGCCACAACGCCGGCACGGAGCGCTCGGACAGGGCAGAGCGTCGCCCTCACCCCGAATAACCCTGGAGGCTGCGAACCTTGGGGTGGGAGCTGTGGCAGAGCCGCTCTCCGGCTCTGCTCCCCCCGCCCCCCAATCCCTTCTGCATTCCCACGCCGGCAGTTGGGACCTGCCTCCCCCCACACGCGCTCCTTCAGCGGCTATTTCTGTCCTCGCCAAACGCGCCGCACATAGAGCTTTAATTAAAGAAAATTAGTGGAGGAGGGCGGGGAGGGGGGTGTCCGTGCTCCGGAGAGGGCGACGGTCCCCGGGACCTCGCCGGGTGCGGCTGCCGCCGTCGATGGCTCGGGGGAGGTCGGGGGCAGGTGCCCGCCTGAGAGTTTGAGCCGCTTTCGCTTGGTTGGTTGTTGGGTTTTTTTTTTTTAGAAAAGGGCGGCGGTGGAGGTGGGGAGGCGGGGGGAGATGGAACGGACACACGACGACGCGGGAACGTGTTCCTTCCCGGAGGGTGTGTTGCAGTTTTAATTATAATGACAGATGTTGCCGTAAAGTTCCGTCTCGGTTCCTGAATACAGGCAGAGCACGAAGCACCGACAAAGTCGCCCGTCGGACCGGGCACTCGCCCTTCGGCGCAGCGGAGTTGCCAAAGAATTTTTTTGTTTGCGTTTTAAATGAGGCTCGGCCGGGTCTGAGGGTCCTCGGGGCGGTGCGTGGAACCCAGGGATACCAGGGAGATGCGGGCAGCCTCCGCTCTCCGGGCAGCATCTCTCCAACCGGCCCAAACCCCCGGCGGTTCCCAGTCCTCGTCCCGCTCCGTGTGGAGCGTGGCTGCTCGTCCCGAGCGCGGCGGGACCCGCCGGGCATCCGCGCCCGGTGCTGGGGAGATGCCGGGGTGTCCCCCCGCAGCCCTTCCCTCCTCCAGCTCTCCCTGGACAGAATCCTCCGCACCTCCGCTCATCCCTGCCTTTCCGGCTCGGGCAGCCCGGGGGACCTGCGGTGCTGCCCACGTCCGGGCTGTGATTTGCAGCCCCGGGAAAGCCCCGCGGAGGGAGGGGACGGGGGGACTGGCATCACCGGGCTCCCCCGGGGCAGAGCCGCCGCTCCCGCCTCCCCGGCCGGGGACTCGCCTCCTCCCGTCGGCTTCGCGCGTTCCTCCGCCGGTTCGCGCTGGATTAAATATTTAGAAGTTTGCAGCGGTGAATAAAGTGATCGGTAATAGAAATTGATGGCACCGATGCAAAGGGGGTGGCACCGGCGCAGGAATAGCGCGGATCAACGGGAGCGGGCGGGGCGCTCCTAGGAGGGTTTTTAAGGGGTTTCACCCCAAGTTGAGGGTTTATCGCTCCGAATGCTGTGGCAGCGCTAAAACCCGGGAGCTGCTCTTCACATTTCCGACGATGTCTTTAAAAAGCATGTTTTTTTCCGCCCTGCCTGCCTGGAAAGAATAACCCCCTGCTTTCGCAGAGACGAGGCAATCCGCTCGAATTTAGCACCTAAAATCCCCCGTCAGCACCTCCCGCCGTGCTGCCTGACACCAAGCAGGGCTCCCACTCCTCTAGACCCTCTGGGTTTGCCATGGCAGCGGGGTGGTGTCGGTAGGGACCTGGAGCGTGTCTTCAACCCCCCGAAGTGCAGCTCTGGGTAGTGGGGGGACCCCGTCCTGGGGAAGGCTGGAGCAGGGATGAAGTTTACCCTGGAGGAGCGAGCGGCCCGCGGGGTGGGTGCGAAGGACACGGGGTGGCCGGTGACCCGGGCTCCGCCGGCCCGGGCCGGAGCCGGCGCTTCTGCCCGCGGCGGGGATGGGGCAGCGCTCGGCGGGGCGGGATGCGCTCCTGGCGCGGCTGCGGAGGCAGCGGGAGAGGGTGAGGAAAGACGAGCTGGAATAGCTTGGAGGGGCGAGCAGAGAGGGAAAGAAAGGGCGAGGGTTGCCTGGGGAATGGCCGAGGGTGCGGACCCACCCGTGCCCTGTCCGCAGAGCTGCTCCTCGGTGGGAGCGGCATGGCGTGGGCATGGGGAAAGCGCAGGGCAGAGCGGAAAGCCCTGGGGCCGTCCGGACGCCCCTGCTACGATGCCAGAGACAGTCTGTACCCACCAGGGCGGGTCGGTGCCGTGCCCACGCCCGCCCACGCCCCTCACCCCGCGCTGGGGGACGCTCCCCCGGCCCGGTGCTGCCCACGCGTGTCCCAGCCCGGCCGCCGCTCCGGGCTGGGGCAGCGCCGCTCTGTGACAGCAGAAAGTGGCTGGAAAGGGGCGAGGCGTCACACGGTCTGCCTCCGGGAGGCAGGGAAAGGCTGAGGGACCGATGGGAAGGCATGAATGAATGAATCTCCATAAAGAGCCCCAAGCAGCAGGGAGAAGGAGAGAGGAGGAGGAAGGAGAGGAGGAGGAAGAGCCGGAGCAGGGCAGGCAGCAGCAGACGTGACGCCGGCAGGTAAGGGGGTGCCAGTGCCCCACGGCCCCGCCGTGCCCGGGATGGCAGGTTGCGGGGCACAGCCAAAGGGGGACAGGAGCTACCGGGGCCCTGCATGGGTATAGGCTTTTTGGTTTTTTTTTTTTTTTTTTTTTGTTTTTTTAAGGAAGCATATTTTCCTCCTGACTCCTTGCAAAATGTGGAGTCCCTAAACTTCTAGGACTCCTTTCCTGCCCCGGTGCTGCCGCTCCGAGACCGCCGGCTTTGGAGGGCTGCGGGCAGACCCGGCGGCAGCTCCCGGCGGGACCGGCCCCGGCGGCCGGACCTGCTCCGCACCGGGGCAGCCCCGAGCCTGCCCGGCGGCAGCGCCACTCGGCCGGGCGTCTAGAGTTACCTTGCCCGGGATATCCAGCTTCTGCCGCGGCCCCTTTGCTTTCGGGGCTCATTGGGGAGCCCCTCTCCCCCCGGTCTCCATCCCCCTTCGGCGCTCCATCCCTGCCGTGGTTACATAAGGCAGAGGAGCCCGTAGCCAGCGCTGACGCGGGCCGGATCATCGGGATCGCACCCAGGGATGCCCAGAACTGAGCTCAGCCTCGTCCGGCTGCTCGCCATCCTCGGTCGCCCCTGCCCCGCTGCCCGCGCTGAGGCACCCGCTGCCTGTCCCTGCTTGCTGCGGGGACTGTGCGGCACAGGTAGCCCTACACACACACAGACACCCTGCCCTGCCCTGCCCTGCCCTGCCCTGCCCTGCCCTGCCCCGGCTCTCCCGCAGAGCTGCCCCGCACTAACGCCGCTGGAACGCGCGCAGCGCTCGGCGCGCTCACCCCGTCCGTGGAGCAGCCTGGCCCCGCAGACGGGCCCCGCAGACGGGCCCACGCCGGGGCGATGCACGCTGGAAGTGTTTGCACACAAACACAGCGCTGCAGGCAGCACACGGGACACGCTCCCGCACACACGTGGGCTGCTGCTGGCCAGGGGCTGCTGCTGGCCAGGGGCTGGTACTCGCCAGGGGCTGCTGCTGCTCGCCACCGGCGGCACGGGGGTGATGGGTGCCCTCGTCGTGCCGGCCGGGGTCGGCTCCCAGCCCGGGCAGGCGCTGGGAACTCCGCTGGGAACGCTGCAGGCCTGGCAGGGCAGCCCTGGGCAGCTCTGCGGCTGCCCGCAGCTTCCCCCTCCCTGACCGAGGTGCTCCGAGCAGGGATCAATAATGCCTTTCTGATTGGCTTCAGTTCCCCATTCAAAGCCACTGCATTAGGACTTGATTTTTCTCCCCTTTGACTCCTGGCCAGATTAGATTGTGAATTTGGCTGATTTCAAGCTACTGGGGGAGGGAAGAATCATACAGCGAGCAGAACTGAAATATCCTACAGGATCCCCTGGAGGGGAGAGAAATCAGGTCTAGGTAAGAGCTTGTTCTCCCTGTCTGGCTAATGCTTCCCTGCTTGATGATCAGAAAACACAAGATCTAACCTCTCACTAGGATGCTTAACCATGAAAGGTCAGGCTTTTGGCTTGTTCCAGGTGCAAGGTTTGTTACTGTGAGCAGTGGATTACGTATTCTGGTTCTCCCGTCTGTGCTAAACACAGGAGTGCACGATGCATGCAAACAGCAGGACGTGGTCAGTGCTTTTGAGGTTTATGAGTTAAGCTCTGGGTGTAACACTGGGGTTGGAGGAGGTGTGATGGGGACAGGACACGAGGTCCATGCCCTGCAGAGCCCAGAGCTGTCCCATCTGTTCATCAAGTCTCAGCCCCATCCTTGGGCAATTTTTTCTAATACTTTTTCTCCATGTATGTGCTGGTGATAAGTGAGTGGGCTATGTTAGGGAAGCCCTGCATTCCAGAGGGACACAGAAAGCAGCACCCAGGAGCATCCCAGCCATGCTGACTGGGATGCTCTTCGCTGCTGGCTGCTCCAGGATTTCATGCTGAGAAAAGCCACAGCAGCGCAGCATCACCTGCAACATTCCAGCTGCCAGCACCTTCTGTGAATTGGTGTTAGCTCCAGGTAAAGCAAAAGCTTGGGATTATGTGGTTTTTCAGCAAAGGGCACAGGGAAGTCTGGTGGAGCAGAGGGACTTTTGAAGGAGCTGTTGCAGGGCAGTGAGGAGCCTGAGGAGGGGAGGATGTGGGGCTGGGGGCTTGCTGCAGGTGAGCTGTGCTGATCTGGGCAGTGGGGAGGCAGCTGTGGAGTCACCAACAAGGCTGTGAGGCACAGGGCTGAGGAGATGGGGAGCTACTGTGGAGGCTGTAAAGGGGGTACGAGCAAGGAACACAGCCTTGAGCAGTGTTTGGCACGATTTCGTGCAGCTGCTGGATTTTCTTGTCGTTGCAAACCCAGGGTTTGGGGAGGGTTGGAGCGAGCCCGATGTCAGGACAGCATTGGGGAGGAGTATCTGGGTGTGGGGAGATGGAGATCTGATGGCCAGCAGTAAACTGGGCCCAGAGGAGGCTGGTGGGGAGGAGAGGAGCTGTGTGGAGCTCGATGGGACAGCTGTGGAGTCATACACTGCCCAAAGTGTGGGTGAGGAGGGAGGCAGAGCTGTGAAAGCAGTTGGTCTGTGAGGACTTTGGGGTGAAGGGACTGGAGACTCTGAGCCTTGGTCCAGAGTGCAGAGCAGTGCCAGGGGCTTGGTGGGGAAAAAGAGGACAAAGAGCATGAAATGATTCATGAGGTGTTATTTGGCTGCTGGAGTGGGGAGTGTATGTATCCAGCACAAAGGTTATCTCAGTCCCCGAGACATCTCTGTGATAGGAGCAAATGATAATAAATATCAAAGAAAGGAGTTGTGAGAGTTAGCTCCAGGTGAGGGGGACCTGTCATTGCACTGTGAGGAGCTGGGGCAGGAGGGTCTGGGGGAGGTGGCACTGAGGCTGCAGGGGTTTATGAGCCTGGGTAAAGAAGCTGGGGGGACACAGCAGGAAGCTGGGGAGGTGGAGGTGGGAGTTGGTGTTATGGCAGGAGCCTGTGAGAAAGCTGCGTGTTTAAAAAAACACCCCAATAAACAAACCCAAAATGCCTATCAGTCAGGGCAGGCTTGAATCTCTTGTTTGGGCTTAAATCTCTGCACTCCCTGGTCTGATCCCCTGTGCAATGTGAAGTTCAAGGCACAGTTAAAGATGGCCCCATGGCTGTAGAACCAGTGCTCATGAGGAAAGCCCTCAGCTGATGAAGGGGGACAGCTCCCTCAGGGAGCAGAGCATGCCACATCTGTACCCTGAGAACTCCTTGTCCTCCCTGGGGACAGATGAGGGAGAAGTGGGGTCCCAGGGCTGTGACCTCTGCTCCTGCTGGGTGGGGTCCTGCCCCTCTTGGGGACCAAACCATCAGGGGATTATTCTAACACATCATATGTGTTCAGAGCTGTCAGAAAAGCCAAATGACCACAATTCTGCTGACTTCCCCCACCCCTCTCTCCTTTGTGCTTAGAGGGAGTCAGTGGGAAAATCTCCAAGATACGTTTTTTTTTTTCCTTTCCTATTCCAGCATTTTTTTATGAGCTGGACAAGGGCAATCTCTGAACTCATTTGTATTTGTAAATCTGCGGGAATAAGTGTATGGAAATGTATGTGTTTTACTGTATCAGCTGCTATCAGCTTTTAACTTTATTACAGTAAGTGCAGAGTTTTCGTGGGCCAAACTCATTCATTGGATTTAATGGAGTTAACTGCAGGCAGATTTGGCTACTTGTTTGTGTATATCTTTGTAAAATGGACAGGCAGAGATCATAAAATCTTATACTCTCTATGGCATCTTTTAGGGGAAAAGTCCTCCAATATGTTTTATAAACAGCATACATAATTTGCCACAGTGTATGCTCATACCTAACACAAGGCACTTTAGTGCTGCTTCTTTTTCCCTTTCCCAGAGCTATATGTATATATATGAATTTGGATTTGCCTGCAGTCTTTTCTCTCTCTCCTTTCCTTAAAAGAGTCTTTAGCAGTTTTAAACAATTTAACTGGATGAATTTTTTTCTTTTTGGTGTATTTGTATGTCTTCCTAGAAATGGTAATAAGAACTCTAACCCTTGCTCTGAAGGGCTCGAAATGAGGGAAGAATAATGTTTGTAACGCCTCTTGCTAAATATCCAAAGCACTCCTAAACCATCTCATCTGCACATGCATGATCTCAGGATGTTCCACAGGTGCTGTGATACATTTGAGGGGCTGACTTTTCCCTGAGATACTGTTTTCTTCCATTTTCACAATGTGATGATATTAATTTCTTGACCTATTCTGGGCTGGGTTTAGATCCTGCATGGACCTTTCCCAGTGTAACATGGAGCAAACCGACACTTGAAGCTGTCGAAAAAATGTATTTCTAGGAGATGGATTTCTTTTCTAATGAGGTATTTGATGTTTTTCCAGGCTCTAAACAAATTAGACCCAGATCTGTGGCTGCAGGGCATTGGGAGGGGAAGTGGTTGATGAGCTGAGCTAATTAATTGCACTTACTTATGACTTATCAAATGGTGATCACCATCCCATATGGAGCACTTGAGTGTGTGGAATTGAGGGGAGAGGATATTGATATGTGGGATAAATGTAAAGCAGTTGTCAATGGAAGGACATAAATAAATCTGTAGATTCTGGTGACATTAAAATAAATTGTGGGTAGTGAGGTATGAGAGAGGCTTGATGTCAAAGGAACCCTATAATGTTTTTATATTCCCACTCAGGGTTTGCTGGGGTTTCTAAATAATGCATTAATTCAATTACACATTCTTAATTAGTGTTTTCTCAAATTGGAGCAACATCATTAATTTACTGCGTCATATTTTTATTTTGCTGGTGTGGCGAGTTTCATTTTCGACTCTTTCCCCTCTCTGGCTTGTGTGACTCGTAACACTCAGCTGTGATGCTCATGCCACAAGCTGCAGCTTCTTTGGGAATACCAGTTTTCTGTATTATGATTTTTTTTTAATATTTTTTTTTACGCTGACAGGCTGCACAGCACTGACCTGACCCTGTAATAGGAGGAAGAGGGAGGAAAAGAGCCCAGATCTGAAGCAGCTCCT